ACACGCCGCGTTTACACCAGCCTGTTTCGCGCTCCCCAGTGGCACGGCGCCACGCAAACGCACTTTCCACACAGGCCGCGCAAATCCCAATGGCACTGCGACATCACGAACGTCGGACGCAAACATATCACATGATACCATCAATCCTCCCCCTCACCAGCGACACGCCGCGTTTACACCAGCGTGTTTCGCGCTCCCCAGTGGCACGGCGCCAAGGCCGCGCAAATCCCAATGGCACTGCGACATCACGAACGTAATTTCGCCACATGGTCTGCCCATACACTACAAGCAAACATATCACATGATACAACAAATCATCCCGCCCAGCGACACGCCGCGTTTAACACCAGCGTGTTTCGCGCTCCCCAGTGGCACGGCGCCACGCAAACGCACTCTCCACCAAGGCCGCGCAAATCCCAATAGCGCTGCGACATCACGCACGTCGCGTCGCCCCACCGTCTGCACATACGCTAGAAGCAAACACGTCACACGATACCACACATCATCCCGCTCACCAGCGACACGCCGCATTTACACCAGCCCGTTTCGCCCTAGTGGCACGGCGCCGCGCAAACGCACTTTCCACCAATGCCACGCAAATCCGAATGGCGCGGCGACATCACGAACGTCGTGTCGCCACACGGTCTGCCCACGCAAAAGAAGCAAACATATCACATGATACCACATATCATCCCGCGTTTACACCAGCCCGTGTCGCGCTCACCAGTGGCCCCGCGCCACGCAAACGCACTTTTCACCAAGGCAGCGCAAATCGCAATGGCACTGCGACATCACGAACGTCGTGTCGCCGCACGGTCCGCCCATACACTAGAATCACTAGAAGCAAACATGTCACATGATACCACAAATCATCCGGCTCACCAGCGACACACCGCGTTTACACCAGTATGTTTGGCGCTCCCCAGTGGCACGGCGCCACGCAAACACACTTCCCACCAAGGCCACGCAACTCCCAACAACATCACGAACGTAATTTGGCCACACGTTCTGCCCATACACTACAAGCGTCTCGCGCGAAACGTTCTCCAAAAGTCACGCAAGCATTTCGTACGAGACTTCCTCCAAAAGTCCTGCTTCGAGGCTGCAAGACGAGCGTTTCGTACGAGACTTCCTCCAAAAGTCACGCGTCAAGTCTCCAAACGAGCGTTTCGTACGAGACTTCCTCAATAAAAAGTCACACGGCAAGTCTCCAAAAGGAGCGTTTCGTACAAGACTTCCTCAAAACTCACATGTCAAAGTCTGCCAATCGAGCATTTCGTACGAGACTTCCTCCAGAAGTCAAGCGGAAATACCCATCGGAGCACACACATCACGCAGCCCTGCAGTTTCGCGACTCCAGCCCCTCCAAACAACACCCGCTCACACGCCAATCCCAATGTCACAGCGACATTCACCTATACCACAACTCACAACCTCACAATTCCCTGCGCCTGCCACGAATCTTTCCGCGTCCACACGTCTAACGCGCACAAAGTACTGCGCCTGCCACGAAATGTCACCTCCGTCACACCTCGCAACCTCACGATTCCCTGCGCCTGCCACGAAAATTGCACTTCCACACTTCAAAGCCGGCACAAAGTACTGCGCCTGCCACGAAAAGTGACAATAGCATCTCATGTGAGCTTCAACAAAATTTGCACCCCACACGTTTGGAATGATTTCGACCCGTTCTGAGCACACTCCCATCCACCAAAATCACCATTTCAGCTGAGACTTGTCACGAAAACAGAGCTTCGATGCCACACCCTGAAACGCAAACCCCAATGGCGCGGCCACATCCAACACCCCAAAAACACGACTCTCCAAACGCTAATCCCAATGGAACTGCGTAGCAAACTACGGACCTCATAAAGCGCTGCCTCGACAATTCAACATCTTACATTTCCACACGATTCCTCGCTATTTCACACGAATCTGACACGTCACGTTTTCATCCGAAACCTACTCCAAAAGCTTCCCCCAATGGCAGCGCCTTAGCGCTCTACTGCGAACGGTTGCGGACGGTTGGGAACGGTTGCGGACGGTTGCGGACGGTTGCGAACATAGAAACAACGGGTCGGGAACAAGGCTCTACCCCCAGACCCCCAGAGTTAAACGAGAACCCTTCGCTACGCATTCGGGAAAAAATATATAAAGTACTGACCAGTGCGTAGGACAATCTGGTTGCAAAACTCGGCTACGCAATCGCACCCAGGATTCGCTCAGAGACATGGTCTTTGGACAATGCTGTCTGACGTCTGTCAGCGCAGGACTTTTGTCCTATTGGTGAGTGATGGGAGTGTTGTATGTGTTCCTGCAGAAGCAGCTAAGGTTCATACGCTTGGCGTGACAGCTTGTCGAGCCTTAGCTGGCAACACTCCAAACAATCTGGTTGCACCAAAGCTTGAATTTTGACACAAACATTGCCAGGTCATTCCTTCCTCAGTGAGCTTGCCACAAATCCAAAATATCTGCCGCTTTGGTCTTCGCAACTGACGGTCGCTTGTAGCCTCTAGACTTAGACCTCTAGAATGCGCTGACCTTGTTATTGTTGTCATATGTCGTCGTGAATTGGTTACTGGGAGCTATGAAGTCTTCAGCATGCACACCCGTCAACGGCAGAAGGCTCAAAACTGACGCGCTGCAACCAAAAATCAGTTGCCCACGTTGCATTGTTCCAAGTCAAGTTTCTCTAAGACCCTTTCTGCGCTAAAATATGCTAATATATGCTAATATATTGCCAAGTTGTAGTTAGCACCCTTCAACAATTCGAACAGTTCCAAAGTTTCTGGATCGCCGTCATGTCGTTTTCCATCAGTTTGCAGCCAGATTGCCCAGGGGTTCGGCATCACTCGGGTAGATGGAGCCTCACCGCACGGCTAAGTGTCCGGTTGCCAAAAGTGGCAGGTAGCTCTCTACAGCAACTGTTGTCGGAGTTGAGAAGTTGGTTGTTATTGCTCACTGTGAGGACACTAGGAAGCGGTTCTTCGGTTGGACCATGCCAAAAAGAATTTGCTGAATAGTGTGTTGAAATTGAGAACCTCCCGCTGTGCAAAGAATTTCACTGAAGACATGTCATGGATGGTCTTCACCCGCATGTCATGAGAGTTGATTTACTGGCTTTTCAATGTGGCGCTGACCCACGCCGTTGTCATCCGCTCACCGTTGTCTCTAGCAGGTGGTTGCAGCTAGCTGATGTGGCAGCTGTGAGGTCTTGTGAGTCTTAGGAGTTCAATCTGGCTGAATCGTCTTAAGGTCTCTGGCATGGTTTATTTGGATATGCCATATGCTTGAACTGTCGCTTGAGATTGAGATGAAACTCCAAGAAACTTGACAAGATTGACCCACACAACTGACTGTCGCCTGCGGCGTAGGCTGTGAAAGAAGTGGATCGCGGCGCTGCCGGCGCTTGCAGAACTGCGTGTAGATGAATACCTGGGCATACCGACATATATCGGCTGAAAGTCGGCAGTTACACCAGATTCGTCCTCATTCAGTTTCCCAAACTGTTTATTGGGTGATGTTTTAGTCCACGGCAACACAAGCAATGTTCATAGAGCCACATCATGCTAGCTCCAGATCCCGAGTCACCATCCCTTTGGGAGATCACCCTGTTCAGTTTTTTGGCAGGCAATTCAACCATCCACAAAGGTCAGAGTTGAGGGACAGGCGGCACTTCAAGATGTACCAGTACTATAAGCAAAAAAAGGAGGACAGGAGAGACTGAAATGACTCGCTACACAGTAGAGCCTTGATGATAGACTTACACTTTGTAATTATATACTTGCGGTGATTCATTCCCTAATTCAAGAAGCTACTAGGGGCTCCTGGCATTGCTACTAGGAGCAAGGACGCTACTAGGGGCTCCAGATTCACATGAGATTAAAGAAGATCGAAATGTCTCTGGAGCATCATGCGCAAGCCACGCCAAGCCAAGAGACTGCCACACAGCAGGCGCAAAGGAGCGCAAAGAGCAGTGCCGCCTCAGACCAGAAGCAGCGTATGCACAGTCCAAGACAACGCATGGAAACAATTCCCTGCCTTTAAGGGTGAGTGGTTCAGTAGACTGAGAATTGCTGGCCATATAATCCAAACCAACCAAGCACTTCGAGGAGGGAAAACACGGGTGTGGGTGTGGCGAGAGCAAAGTTTCAAAGAACTGTCTAGGACTCCGTTTTGCTTCATTCACTCCATACCCAAAAAAACAAACGAGTCAACTGACCTGAGTGCGACCAGATTTCAGCTTGTGCTTGACCCTACATTCCACGTCAAAGCTCTAGGACAAGACTACAAAATGAAAAATTATCAATTGACCCACGCTGCCCCGCAATGAAGGAGAACCGAGCAGCCACGGTTCCAGGGTCAGGATCGAAGGTGCCGGGCACCACCTCTGGGGTTGATGAAAAGCGCAAGTTGAACTTGCTCAAAGCATCCAGAGAGGATGATTACAGTAAAACACTTCTTTGTTGCAACTAAAAAAGAGTTGGAAACCAAAAATGTTGCAGCGCCCCCACTGCACGCCTTGCCCTTGTCCAAGACAGCATAGGAGGCATCGGACAGAATCCCGCACTCTCCTCCAAAGATGCGACGTGGCAAGCGATCTGTGTTGCGACGGAATTAAACACTTGCTGGAGCCTTTGAAGCAACATAAGCAATACCAAAACACATTGTCCCTGAAGGAGCCAAAGAATGATCTGCCTTGAGCGGATGTGGCATCATGTGGTCTGAAAGAGGCTCTTCCTTGAAATTTATGTGGTGCCAGAATTAAAGTGGTGCAGCTTCGCGCTTGTCATTTTCCGCTTTGCGGTCTCTTGTGCAGTAGCAACGCAATCAGGGCCATGACTTACAATTAGAATATATTTAAAACTATATATATCTATTATATATATTCATATATATATATATAATCTTCAGGTTGAGGAGCCTAATTGAGCCTGGTGGCTAACTTCAAGTGTGACCCATCCTATCCTGAACCGCCAACTCCGCGAGCTAGTCTGCCAAAACCTCAGCATGGCTCGAGCACAGAGAAACAGGAAAAGTAGCCTTTAAGCATAATAGTTCTTTCGCAATCCAATCGATTCCGTTGGTATCCAGGATTGGAAAAATGTCTTTCGGGTCAGAGACAATACGTTGGTGTTTCGGTGATGAGCATTTTTTTGTTTTGAAGAGAATGCATCTCAAAAGTGAAGAATTCCACTGATCATCATCGATCTATATTCCTGTAAGGTTAAGATTAAGAAAGGGGCTTGGGGAGCGACCACTAGGCTCGAAGACTGGATTTGTTTTTGACCCTTTACTTTACTTGTTGATGTTCGCTCCTGATCTTTTTTCATTTGATCCTGTACAGCCTGTACATTCATTTTTGTTGATCCAAATGCCCAATGTAGGCATATAAATATTCCTCACATGGGGTGTCTGGAACCCTGCCTTTGTGGATCCTGGTGGCATACGCATCACACGCGGTTCGGTCCTGCAGCGCTGACTGGCGCGCAAATGATTTTCCCGGGCGATTCAAATGGGTCTTTCTTGTTGGACCGGCTTTTTTGGGACTTTTGGAACCTAGAAAAATTCCAGACGATGCATGCAAACAATATGCCCTACACTTGGTGGTTTGTTTGGTGGTGAATGTTTGTCATATTTACTTACATGGATCGTCTAGCATTATGACCAGCTGAATGAAGCTTGGCATTGGACATTGGAAAGTCACACAATTAGGAAAAAGATGAAAAAAGTAGATGAACAATAGGAAAACAAATAGGCCCAAAATTAGGAAACAAGTCGACAACAATAAAAATTAAAAACATTAGGAATGAGGAAAACACATAGGACGCAAATCTAGAAAACGCAAAACAAGCAGCCAGGCGAGAAGAAACACCAGAAGCAAAGATACCACAATAATAAGGATCAATACCGCAAACTGAATAGGTAAGGCGAACTAAACAATCATCAAGAATGTTCAAGGGAGGGTGATGGGGAGGGGGGTCGAGGGGCGGAGGGGTCGCGGCCTAGTGCCTAGTGTTCCTACTTTTCTTACTTTGCGTCCAATTTTCCTATGTTTCCAACTTTAGCCCACTCTTATGTTTTCCTAATTTTTCAAGGCTTTGCTAGTTTTGGAAAGGCGAGACCCCGAATGGAATTTTCTGGGGGCCGTCCTTGCTGGCCTGGATGTTTAGACTCTCGTGGTCGAGCGCCCCCGCCCCCCCAGAATTCTGCCAAGACCCAGCTCCTGAGCTCTTTGTTTATGGTTGGGCTTCCTTGTGTTTCCTTTCTTGCTGCTTCTGTTGTTTCGTCCTGGTTGTCTTTCTCCTTTTTGCTTCGACTCGGGTCCCACACACAACCACAAACACACAAGCATGACAACCACAAACACAGCCACAAACGCAACTACAAACACACAATCACAAACACACAACCACAAACACTATCGCAAACACATAACATAACTAACACAACCACAAACACATCCGCAAAAACACAGCCACAAACACACAACCACAAACACAGCCACAACCACAACCACAACACACAAGCACAAAGATACATCCACAGCACACAACCACGGCACACAACCACAACACACAACCACAGCACACAACTGCAGTACACAACCCGAGGACCCACAAGCAAAATCGAGAACCGCAAAAGTCACGACCATGGAACATGCTCCTCACCATGGCATGAAGACAATAGATTGAAAAGTCATGGTGGGGATCACTCGAAGCAAAATAATGTTGATGCGGTTTTTCCTATTTGGGATGCTATTTATTTCCTGTTTATTTTGATCACACCCAGTGGAAGCTGAACTTCCTCGTGATAAGTCTAGTCTAGCATATTAACCAATTAACCACCCAAAATGATATCGGCCGCGTCTGGGATTGGACCCAGGGACCGCTCTCAACCAGTCCAAAACAAACATGTTTCTCCCAGGGAATCGCAGCAGACTTTCGGGGTCTCGGAATGGGGCCTGCCATTAGTTCAACTCCTCCCCAAGCCAACCACTTCTTGTTTGGTTGCAACTCCCTGTGAGGAGCTTGATCACTTGGCATCCGCCGATTTATGGTTCGGATCTGCCCCGCCCCGTTCGATTCACCGGGTCGCCGAGACAGCGGAGAACGACGTTTGAGGGTGATTCAGAATTCATATTTGAGGGTCGTTGCATGCAACTCGTGAGCTCAAAACAAGCCCGACCAATCCAGTTGCAGCTTAGGCACCATTTTCGCCCCACTGCACACCCCAGGAGTTCTTGATGATCCAGTAATTCTGTCCTGCTAGATGGTGTAAGCCTAGCACAGTCGAACCGGTCTGCCTTTGCATAGAAAGGCTGGCAGGTGCCTGCTGCCGGTCTCCTCCACTGCTGCCATATCCAATCAGGAGGACACCGTGGTCAAGCTTGGCGCCACAATCTCCTCCAAGGATGCCACCTGCTCGCAGAAGAGATCTTCATGCTTCGACTGCAATGGTACAGTATCTCTCTATAATTTTGACCTAGGGTATTCTTGTGCATTGCTCTAGGCCCTAGGCCATTCTTTGGAAACTTGGCCCTAGCTTACATCCAAATCCTCTTCGTGGTGTATGTGTTTAATGTATTTGCAAAATCAAGCAGCAAATTGTTCCAGCTTCTTCAATCTGGGGTCAAGGCCAGTGTATAGCTGGAACCTAACCATTGGTTCCACTCGTCAAAGTCAAAAAAGAACCTTCGGGCCTACACTGCTACACCTGACTGCTGTGTGGGCACTCATGACACATTGTTTCATACAAGTGATTTTCTCCTCTTGAAACAAACACCAACCCCAGGGAACTCTCAACATTTGCAGTCATCTTAAACATCCTGGACTCAAACCAAATCATCATGCTTTGCAGCAAAACTGTCACGCAGGATCACAGTGCTTTTCAGGACCAACGCAAACAATCACAGAAGCTCACAGAAATGTTTTGTGGCACACACTCGCAAGAAAGCATCCTAGTTCTTGAAGTTCAAGCAGGCGTTCCCATTCTAGCCAAGTCTAGTGCAAGTAACACCAGTGAATCGCCATCGATGGCCACTGCCACAGGCTGTTGCGCTACAGCTTGCATCAACGCGTTCTCGCTGAGCTGGGCCACCTGCCTGAGACCACAAAATCAACTCTGAGGAAAGCATATCTGCAATGCAATGTGTCTATCTCTCATCCAAAGCATCTCCTAAGCTCGGTTCTGTCTATGGAAATCCTCCTTTCTCTTGCCCTGGGACACCGCGCATGTATCCGCGCACACCACCCGGCGGAATCACCTGCTCGCATCTACTCGCCTCGCAGCTACCTTGCACCTTGGCTTGGAGGGCTTGGCCAATTTGAATCGGGTGGTGTTTGCCGCACTGTAAATTTGGTACCATCCCATTAATCTCCAATTGCTTCGTGAAGGCGTTTGTCAAATAACATTCCTCGCCCTTTTGGTCATCCGAGTTGTTTTGAGTCTTGCCTGAATTCTCTGTCAGGTTGACTGATGATCTTGATATATCTTAACTGTCAAAGCATGTTGGATCTTTTTGGAGGTTCAAACCTTAACATGTGATCCTTGCAAAACATTACAACCAAAAACTACAAAACATGTAACAGCATCCGTGAATCTCTCAATAACTATGTGACTCTAGTTGCGAACGTGGTCCCAGGGTTTGCTCACTGCACAGAATCTCCATAAAGAAATGTGAAGCTTCTCTTCATTCATAAACTGATCGCGAACTTCATGAATGTCCAACGGTTTAGAAACTTGTTTTTTCTGCAGAAGTTCGGCCCAAACAACCCGAAGGTGTGGAGTTAAAATGTCCTTCAAGTTTAACATTTAAAATAAATGTTGAGAACCCGACGAAAACATGCAAAGCGAACCCATTTCATATAGAAGAATCCGAAACGTTTCAGGACCTCCGCCGGCTTGCGGGACCAATTGCACACCGAAAACGGACTTCAGTGCCTGTGCCCTCCGGCTCTTTGCCCCAGGTGCTTCCGAGCCACCGCCTTGTAGTTATAGGATCTTGCAGTGCAAAGCCCCTTGTCGCGCACATAGGTGAACCTGCAGTTCGTGAAAAACAATCAAGAGCGTCTACTTGCTTGTTATACATATTTCAAATACATGCTAATTATTTAAACACATGCCACAAAGCCAAAGCACAAGGCATACAAATGACATCAGATAGAACACAAATAATAACTTGGTGATACTGTGACCCTTAGGATACAAAGTTTGCTAAGTCCAACTGTCGATTGGATCCGTGTTTACAGCTGGATAGATGATGAAGTCTGCCAAAAGTTCCTGAACATCTGCGCAGATCAAAGTTCCTGGAGTTTCTGATTGCAACGCAAACCCAGAATTGGCTGCAAGGGTCGTTGGCATTTTTGCTCGCATTTGGCAGGCCCTGAAACCAACTGCCAAGCTCCAGGCCCATTCATTGGATTGCCACCCTTGCAACCCATGTTTCCATAATCTGTAGCGGCACAGTCCTTCGGCTGCAGTAGCACATGACCCCCCCAACCCAGTTTGCCTGTTTGAGCCTCAGCCTCTCCTCTATGCGCAGATATTTCACTTGGGTGTACCATTGTCTTCTTGGGTCTGCCCGTCCAGAAGCTGCTGTTCTGAAAGAGTGTAAAGGTTTCCACCAGCGACCTGCCGAGTGTCAGGCTGGTCGCCAATGAAGTTTCATAATATGTAAGTTCAGAAGCAAAAATCAAAAAGTGGAAGCAAAACCCGCGTGCCGGTGCACTGTAGTTCTGCACAAGATCGATGCTCTGCTATGCGTCCAAGCACACGACTTGAAATGCACCTGCCTTCCAGGCCCCTTCGATAGCTCCCGCCGTGGCAAAAGTCCAACAAGCCCCACAATGGCCCTGCTGCTGCACCTCAATACGCCGTTGGCTTGTAGTTGAATCTGCACATTTCTGAACGTGACATTCAGTTAGCTGTCACCGCTAGCAGTCACACTATCTGTGGCAAACTGAAAGCTTTTCAATCTCAACAACATCTGAAATCGAGAACAACAAATGATCCCTTGACACACGAAGTTCAGGAACCGAAATGCACCTCTCAAGCGCACATGACTTTTCCGAAGGCGTATCCGGATTGGCTCTAGCTATGCGCGCCCGCCCTTGCTTGAGCGCACAACCACAAGTGAAAACACATCAGCATCGATCGATCGTCTCGAAGGTTTCGTGCCGAAAACTCACATCGGTGGGAGCTTAGCCAGGATTGCACCTGTTGCATGGTCTTTTGCAGACACTGTTCGACCCACCACATGTGCGAGTTCGATGCCAGCATTCACCGGAGGGAGTCACGTAGATCGGCCCTGGAGCTGTCATGACTGCCAGTCCCGAAACAGCACCGGTCCTCAACACCTGCACTGCTTCATTCGCCAACATCAACTCACCTTGAAGCCGGAGGTTTTCCTGTCTCAAATCATGGTTCTTCTTTTCTTCTCTCTCCAGATCCTTCAAGATGCTTTCACGCTCTCGCTCCATTTCATCCTCAAGCTCATGGAGTTCCAGCTTGAGTCGGGCGATCTCTTCATCTGCCTTGGACTGCGTCTCACCTCTGGTGGGGCAACAAGAAAACACAAGCCGACCAAGGAACCACAACAATGTCAATGCTCCGACAATGCTCGACACAATGAGGGCCTCAAAGCTACCGAAACTCCAGTCATCATGAGTGGATGCAGCGGCCTTCGTCACCTCATCTGCCATGATCAGCGCAATCAAACTCTGCGCTATGTCAGAACGTGTGGTGCGAGTCTCACGGATCGTCTTTGCTCGCTCCTCCTTTGACTTCTTCTTTGCAGCAACGAACCCTTCATCAGCAACCAACTGTATGTGGCTACCACGGTATCGTTCAACAAAGTTCTGTCGAGCTCCAACCTTTGTCAAGCCATCTGACAATTGGCGTTCACTTGAAACCCAACGCCACTGACAATGTAAATCTGCCAGCAAACTTTTGATCACCAAGCCCTCTATTGCAACACGTTTGTCTGCTGCTTGCTGAATCGTTTCACGATGCACAGCGTCAAAGAGTGCTTTGCAATCTGTCACCATGGCTGACTCACCTGAAAGGCTGTCCTTGATGTCCTTCAAAGCGACACCAGGCCTCCGAAGACATTCTGTAAATGTCTTGACCATGAGGAGCTCCTCCAAGGCTGTGGCGCATGCCTGACACTCAGCGGCTAAAGAGCTCCTGCAAACTCTGGGGACTTTGAACGACCTCCAAGCAACAATGGATGCTGGCCGCTTCTGGCCCTGCAAGACTCCTTTCTCACAAGCCAAAATCATGAATCCTCCTTGCGAGGTATGATCTGACCTCACGCTGAATGCAGCATCTGCATAGCAAACCAGGCACAAATCACTCAGACTTTTAGCCTGACCACGCTTCTTTTCACCAGCTGGGCAACCAAGAAACTTCAATGTAACTGCTGCATTCGACTTTGCAAAACGCAATGTCTTGTTCAACTCACGAAGATGCAGCACCTTGCCCTTTGGAACTTCACCAGCCTGAATGCTCATCGAAGCGCACAAGATCGGCATGCCCTGGGTTGCAGGCCACTGTAGTGCACCTATGAGGCCACGAGCTGCACTGACCTCTTGTGGTGTCACACTGTCTTCATCTTTTCGACCTTTGTGGATGGTCATCGGACAGAGCTTCTTGATATACTCTTCGTAGCTGACCTCAATGCCATGCTGATTCCTCAGGATTGTTCCTCCGCAGTACTTCAACGACTGATCTTCTGACAACTCGTCCCATTTGCCAAAATTGAAATCTTTGCGAAGGAACTCAACTGCCTGTGCAAATTCAGCATCTTGCATGCTTCCAGCCAGCAACATGTCATCAACATGTAAAATCAACATGCCTGTCAAGCTCTGATCCTTGCTGGATGGCAACACGAAGCAGCACTGATCTAGTGGATGGCTCAACCAACCACGCTTTGTCAGCCTAGAAGCAGCTTCTTGAAACCATAACAGCGGTGCATCGCACAAGCCGTACGCACTCTTCTTCATCTTCATGTACAAGTGCTTCTTGTACACTTTCTGCTGTCCTCCATCGACCAACGGCAAACAATCCATTGGCAGCCTGACAATGAGCACCCTGTCAAAACCTTTGCCAGACAAGAAAGCCGCCTGAACATCAGCACAAAACACTGACCATTCCATCCAAACAGCTACTGTCAGCAACATAGTTCGACTGGTTCGACCTGCAGTTGGGCTTGCGGTCTTCATGTTCAAGATGTCAGGATCTTGAAATCCTCGCAAAACCAATCTGGCCTTGGCCTTCCAACGGGTGATGCCATCTTCCGTCTCCAACTTCTTCCAGGTGAGAACCCAGCGAGCAGAAATCACACGTTTTGTTCTGATGGCACTTTCAATCTCACTTGTCGTTGCAAACTGCCATACTGAATTGCTAAAATACTGATCAAGCTCTTTGCGTTTGCCCTCAACAAACTGAGCTCGGCCTTGAGGATCCAGCTTCCGTTCATTGACCTCACCTTTGCGAATTGCGGCCATCAAGACATCGTCCATCTCAAGTTCACCATCAACAATTCGCCATCCTGAGGGAACATCTTCAGGAAGCTGTGTCAGAAAAACATCTTCTATCACCAGATCATCATCGTCCGGCACGGGGATGCTTCCTCCTCCAAGATCGCCAGGAAACTCAGGCACTGAACTGGATGCCCTGATGGCTTTTCCTGGTGGCTCTTCAGAAGCAACATTTTCTGACTTCCTCTTTAGACTCGATGGAGCTGGAGCGTGTGCTGTATCCTCTTCCAAATCTGTCGGGGCTGCAGTAGTCACCGACTCACGACGTCGGGGTGTTCTTTCTCGATCTTCTGCCTGCAACCTTGGAAGAAAAACACTGATCACTCCAGGAACATTGGGCTCTTCTGTCTCTTTTGCATTGCCAGTTGATGCATCATCATCTGAACGAGGGTCTTCTGCTTCTTCAACACTTCCTGGCAATGAGGGTGTATACTCTGCATCAAGCTCAACATCATCTCCGTCAAGCTCATCTGCTTCGTCGATCTGGCCACTGCGTCGAAGTTCATCCTTGAACTGTGTGGTGCTCCTGGCTTTCAACTCTTGCAAGTCACGAAGTGCTGCTTGCCGATCACACGCAACCGGCATCCCAGTGTCTTCAACCATTGGCCTCACCTGTCGTGCACCACAACGTAACAACGATGTGCCATGACAAAGCCAATACACATTGACACTTGGCTGCTCTTCTATTGCAACAATCCTTGCAGGACCACGCCAACCGGACTTTTGCAGCCTTCGTTGATGCTTGCGCCAATACCAAACCTTTTGACCAATCACAAGCTCCTCTTGCATTTCAGCAAACTTCTGAGTGAAGGCTCGGCGCAACTTGGCATCTGAATCTGCTGCAATGAAAGCTTTTGCAGCTTCTGTCCGTCTGGCCTGGATCTGAGCGAAATTGCCCTGTTCATCAATGGCCTCTTGTGCAGGATTGAAAAACTCTCCACTGAGACCGTGAACATAGGTCATGGATTTGCCAAGAACCCACTGCTGAGGAGTGAACCCACGATGAAAGCTGAGCTGGTTGATTGAGTGAGGAACATACAGTGCGGCCTTCTTCAACGATTTGAGATCATGACTGTCGCACTGGTCCATAAACAATTCCAACGCTCGTCGGACAACTTGATGCTTCCTCTCAACAACACCAAGCCAGCTATGATTCTCAGCAGGTTGCACTTCCAGCGTCACACCACGCTGTGTGGCCCATTCTCTGACACGCTGACTCGACCAACCTTTTGCCTCGTCAATGCGCAGGATCTTCGGAACTCCAAAATGCTTCACCCAAGCACGCTCAAGACCTTTTGTGAACTCATCAGCGCGCTCAGATTGTAGGATCCGAACTGCACAATATCTGGTGGCATGGTCGATGATTGTCAACACGCACTGTCGACCTGTTGGCCTCTTCTCCTTCTTATCCTTCTCTCTGCGACGAGCTGCTGGTGTACCTGGTGCAGGAACTCGTTCTTTCACCATGCTGTCTTCACACGCAATCCAGTGACTGTCAACGAGGATCCTTTCATTGAACTCAGTACACTTCAGCCCACTTGCAGGTGGATTGGCCTTTGGAGGCTTGCGAGCATAGCACAATGGACATGTGTAAAACTTTGCAGCCTGAAGAACATTATCTGTTGCTTGAATCTCCTTCAGCATGCGATGAAGAACTTCCCAACCTGGATGGCCAAGGTTCTTGTGCAACCGTTGCACATACTCAACAGCACGAGGTCCAACCTGGGATCGTAGGATTCTGTTCTTTCGCACTGGATCCAAGCTATCAAACTCTTCAGACTCGAGTGCCACTGCTCTCTTGTCATCTTTGGGATCTGCTGCCTTAGGCTCACCGACAAAACGTTCAGCTCCTTGATGACGACCAGCCATGTAATCTGCAATCTCTTGTTGAGCTGATGGCATATCCTCGACAGCAAAGATGTCATCAGATTCAAGCTCAGCAATGATAGCATTCACGAGGTGACTGGCCAATGCCTGAGGATAACTCTCTGCAAGCCAGGAACGAAAACCAACACCAGGAATACTGCCTTCCAAGTGAGTGTGTGAGTGTGTTCCATCACAATGCTTGCTGATCCTCTCTGACAAGGATGCTCTGGTGGTTCGAAATGTCGTGGGCTTCTGAACTGGCAGCATCTCATTGTGATCATTGAGAAGGCGTAAACCAAACATGCACTGATCCACATGAGCATCATGCCCATTCATCGCTTGGAATGCTGGAGTCGCCCAAGCACGTGAACGTTTGGGATGTTCCCACAACGCCAGCTTGCCTTTCCTCCTCTGATGCTCAAAAATCACTGAACAAAACATGAGGATGTTGTCGTGGTCCCACTGTCGTGCAATGTCCAGGGTTTCAGCATAGCCTTCATGAGCTGCACACGTGAGCTCTTGTAGACTGCTCCATAGCTTGCACATAGGGGAGATCAACACACAATCTGGCTCCTCAGACTTCAAATGACGAAGAAATGCCATTCTGTGGGAGGCCTGAGCAAAATCCCAACCATCACTCAATGAGAAACGTTCACTCTGCATGTTCTGTCGCCTTGCAGCTGTCTTGCTCACACGACCTTCTCCAGCAAACACTTCCCACAAGACATACTTGCGGTCATAGTCCCGTAGTGGAGAGGCTTTGAGAACATCTTCAAACTCTTTGATCCTCCGCTCGGTATCATGCATGAGCTGTCGAAGCTTGCCGGATGGCAGCTTCTGGAAGACTTCACGGTCTTCTGGCGTAGAGGATGGAGAGCAAGCAGCTTCATGTTCATCTGGTTTTGCCCTTGGATCGCAACTCAACTCTTCTGTCACCACAACGTCATCATCTGACTCGAGATCTATCGTGATCTCACTGCATTGAAGGCTTGTCATCAGCTGTGCCCCTGCGTCTTCAGGAGGTGGTCCACTCTTCTCACAAGCCGATGGACTCTGTTGTGACTCCAAAATGGATGTCACTGATGTGAAACTTGAATTCTTGCTCATCAATGACACTGTTCACCGAGTCCTCGCTCACGTTGAGCATCGACTGCACCTGACCATCAAAGAAAATTTGTGTGGACAGTGGCTCTGGGTGAACATGTTGCTCAAAGTCATCTGGGAGCAGGATGCTGGAGGGCTTCGTCTCAAGCAACTTTGACACATCTGAGGCCATGTGGCAAATGAATTCGCCTCGAGTGCCACGAGCACACTTCTTCCATGTCTTGCGGCCCCACTTGATCTTTCCTGCCGAATAGGAAATGGTGATGTCCAATGCCTCCATGATTGGGCGTCCAAACAAGAATGGTGCATCACCTGGAATGACATACATCAAAATGTCACGGCGGCGGCCCTCCATGAACGTGGGAACAAGCAAGCAGACAGAAGTGATATTCTTCTCTCCATTGCCAAACCTGAAGCCCTTCTTGCAGCGGAAGACTTGAATCTGGCTCAAATCGAACCCTGCTGCCATCAACATCTCGAGGTACTTTCGAAGTCTTCCCTCTGAGGTCAACACTGAACCTGCTCCACAGTCCATCATGGCGATGTCATGGGACACAATGCCATTCTCCTCAACTGCCAGCTGAATGGAATCTGGCTCATCGGACTCGAATGGAGCAACCATGTTGATGTCAGCATCTGTCTCCGCTTTTCTCTTGCCAGCAACGGGGCACGCTTTGGCTCGATGTCCAGCCTGACCACAACGCAAGCAACGTTCTGCACCAAGAGCTGCACGGCCACGGGCTTTTGGCTGAGGTGGAGGTCGTGGATTCTGCTTTCCACCTTTTCCAGCATGACTCTTGCCCTTGCCTTTGCTCTTGCTCTTGCCTTTGGGCGATGAAAAACTGCCCTTGCCACTGGATGAAGCTTGTTCTGGAATCATCGCAACGACCGGGTAGTATCCTCTGCTCATCCTCATCTGATTCAGTCGTTGTCGGGCTTCTGTATATCCAGCTAGGACCTCATCGTATTCTGCAGCAAGGTCATCATTCACTGCATGAATCTCATCATCGCCGTCTTCTTCTTCTCCGTCATCACCACCATCATCGGCCCAAAAGCAATCTGGGTCCTCGTCAGCATCTTCACCATACTCAAAGTCAAAGCTTTCGTCTTCTTCACCATAGTAAACAGCTTCTTTGTATGGTGCACGCCAACGACTTGAGGCCTTGGTGGAATAGGTCGAATGACCTTCAGGTGTACTGTCCTGCCCAATGACAAAGTTCATAGCCTTGCGAACCGTGTCCAGCGACAATGTCTCAGTGCCCAATGCACTCATGATCAACTGTCTCTGCTGTTGGGTCAGTCCAGCTCTCCTCATGAAATACCAGCCAACAACCTTATCTGGCAATGTGACATTGTGGGCTTCCAATTTCCTCAATGCTCGTTCAAAGTCACCAGCATATTCTTGCAACGTCGAGTTCTTCTTTCTATGCAACGTGCAGAAAAATGCTTCAAAATCTCCAGGAAGCTCCGTGATCGCGTCGAACTTGAAGACCTTATCCAACCGTTCCAAAATCTTCTGCATGGCGGTGGACCCTTCAAGATCTGACATGGAGATGTCCTCACATGCATCCCATGCACGACCCTTCAATGTCACCAGCACATTGAAACTGGTCTCTGAGGACCTGCCGGCCAAACTCATCTTCATCTCGTACAGGAGCATCCTCTTCCTGTACTCCTTGTAGTCGCTCGACTTGCCAGAAAACTCAGGAACATTCTCGTGAGCTTTTCCAACATAAGCAGTCGAAGCCGACCCACTGCCTTGCGTTGCAGTCCCTGTGGCCATCAATGCACAATGTACGACCGACAGCAACCAATGTCAATGCAGTCAACTCAACCAACGATCAAATCGCAAGCAATGACAGTGTTGCTCAAGGTACAATGTGCAACCAACCAATGTACAAAAGGCTCCGCGCCACCAACAACAAATGATCCCTTGACACACGAAGTTCAGGAACCGAAATGCACCTCTCAAGCGCACATGACTTTTCCGAAGGCGTATCCGGATTGGCTCTAGCTATGCGCGCCCGCCCTTGCTTGAGCGCACAACCACAAGTGAAAACACATCAGCATCGATCGATCGTCTCGAAGGTTTCGTGCCGAAAACTCACAGAGAAAATTAATCATTAAAGAGATGGTAAATTAATAAGAAAGGAAGCTAAAGCGGGCACCTGGCACAAGCCCAAGCTTGACCCCCAACGGCGCGTGGAATGCACATGATCTTTTTTGTTGCTTGCGCATTGCGCAAAAACTGTGGCGCTTCTCAGTGTCGGCCGGAGTAAGTACCTTGACCTTCACAACTAAAGAGTTGATTTCCAATCGAGCAGTTCCTGTAAAATCTGTAAACCCCAGAACGGAACCATGGTTCCTGGGAGATTTGGAACATGTGGAACCAAAATGCCTCGTCAAGGGGCCCTGCGGGTACTGCTCAAGTTCGGCTTCTTAGTTTGTCGATCCAGTGGACAGGTTTGCCTTTTCAATCATAGCTTCTTGTTACTACTAGTAAGGCACCTGTTACTACTAGCGATGCACTTGTTCCTAGTAGCTTCTTGTTACAGGTTTGCTTTTTCAATCAACTTTCCTGTAGAAGACTCCCACTGGAGCCTTTGATGAGCTTGTCAGAGGTGGTGGTGGGAGTTTGGTGTATTGCTCTTTAGTGATGAAGTCAGTGTGTGGTGATTGCGCTGAGCCTCGATCTTGAACTCCAGTCGTCAGGTGTTGCAATGTGCTTGCGGCATGTGGTCGTTCGCCGCAGGTACCCACGTAGAGTTCAGGGGATGCTTCCGTAGGGAATGCTTCCGCTGTTTGATTCTCTGACTGTTTGAGTGGTGGCGGTGTGTCTGTGAAGGATGGCTGCTTGTAGCCCGTGTAGGTGGAGAGCCTTGGTTATGTGACGGGGCGGTGACTGGGGATTGTTGTCAACTTCCCAGATGGCCACGGCTTTGCTGGTGGTTGGTTTGTCCGTGCCAAATACCGGTACCGTTGTTTGATCCAAGCCATCCAAGCTTGTATGTAGTCGTGACGTGAGCTTTTTGCGTGGCAATGGCTTAGCCTTGCCTTCTCGCAGTTTGGCATCTGCTCTTGAGGAGTTGGATGAGGTGCGCTCCGGACACGACCAGTGTCCGGCGGTCCGTGAAAGTGAGAAATGTATATATATATATATACATTACTTAGCAGTCGCACACTCCTTTTCCAGGCTACAGTCGGACTATGTGTGGTAAGTTCTAGCTAAAAGCTTTTCACAGCATCTGAAATCGTGAAAACTCATTAAAGAGATGTGACCCTCCCATAAGGAAGGAACTGAAAGATTGCAAAAACAGAATGTGACCCTCAACAGCATCACATGGCCAGAACCTCGCCAGAGCGCTCCAGAACCCCACCCGGAACGGCCCGGAATCCATTATCTCCACTTACCCTGCGGAACCTTGAGCTATGATGCCCAGTTAACCTGGCCAGAACCTATCCCGGGGACCGTACTGGAACCATGGGGACCGGCCCGGAACTCCCCAGAGGCTATGGCTTAGACTCTGTTGGAGAAGACAAAATAAGAATTGAGAAAGCATAGAGGGAAGAAAACAGTGAAATCTGGAAGTGTGAGGAGAAAACACCATGTGACTACGAACTAACACCACTGCCCTGTGCTTGCTGCAAGACCCATAGCCCGTATATCGCGTATCGCTCCGCTCTGTGTGGGGAACAAAACTTATCCTTGTCACCCTGGCCCCTTCTTCCCTTTCCAGCTCCAAGGGAAAGGGTGACCGTACTGCCTGGAGTTCGCTAAATTCTCACCAACCTGACCAATTCCTTGGGCACCACACCACAGAGACAGCACCCTTACCTGAGTCAATACAAAAAGAACTGAGGGACCATGAACTCATCAATGGTCTGGAAAATGACTACGAGCATGCGCATGTATGCGTCCCTGGTAATCTCGTGGAATCTTGCTGGAGGTTCTGATCCTTTGAAGCGCTGCTAGTAACAAAGGGCATCGCTACTAGGAGCAAGAAGCTACTTGCAGCTCCTGGCATTACTACTAGTAACAAGAAGCACTAGTAACAAGGGCATCGCTACTAGTAACGTGCGCGTGCATTCTGACCTGTGCAGTGCCATCAATCCGACAGAACCACCATGAGCCGAGAAGCTCCGCCAGTCTACCGAGTCGGGCGCACCGCTCAAGATGCCACGCAAGAGCCCCTGAGGCTCCTGAACCTGTGGAAGACCTGCACTCGACTTGGACAACCGAAACCTGGAAAAATATTTGGGGTCTGTGATGCATGCTGAAATTTGAAGCCTAATTGAACAATCTTGCAGGCATCCAGCAGGGCACTGCTCCAATCCCATCAGCCCTTCCAGCCTCCCCAAATGGCAGAAAGGTTCTTGGTCTGCATGCCTGACAATTGAACTTTAGTAGCGCTGGTTGAAGACTGGCCAGGTTGCAAACTTGTGGCAGGCAGAACTCTTAAGCCCCTGTTGAATATATTCTTATGCAAATGCGATTGTGCTACTCTCTAGAAATCCTTCCTGTCGTACTGCGCCTGTACAAGCCAGTGATGCTTCCGCCCAACCCTTCGACCCTTCGCGCCATAGATGTCGCGAAACTCGCCAGGGCTGAGGTCCGCAAAAGGGGTGATGCCCACCGTGTAGTTGTGATCTTCGCCTCAAAAGGAAAAAAGGACCAAATCTTAGAAACATGTAGAAACATGTAGAAACACTATACCCAGGTACACAATCAAGGTTGGTTACAGCGTTCTTGAGACTGTGAGAGTGAGAGCAGCAACGAAATTGAGATTGCTTCGATTCTTCCAAGATCATTGTAGGTTGTCTTTTTGATCTTTTGATCTGGAGAACATGCCACGATGTGCATCTAAGTTCGATTTTTGACTTTCACAAACTGGGGTACATGCATGCACGGGCGGGGGGCAACTTTTGTGGTGGCTTGATCGAGTCCGCCATGGTATATATGGGCAAGAAAAATCATCAGCAACCGGCGCACCCTCGGACTACTCGAAAACCCCTAGGCACAAGCAAGCGGTCCTTTGCTTACGGACCCATCTCAGTCAGATTGAGACTGTGCTCAGTTCCAATGTAGAAAAAGACAATCGATCCCAGAAGCAGCAAACGCATGCAAAAGGTGTCCAGGTTGACTTCATCCAAGTCTTGTCAATCTCTATCATTCTCTATCTATTTGCACGCTTGGGTCAACACCGTCAAGCCATGTCAAGCCACTGTTTCTCTGTCGAACCCACGCCATATTTTTGCTGAAAATCTTGAGCCGCCTGTCCTCACATGCGGAAGCAGCAAAAGAAATGCACAAACCCAAGAAGAAAACTCCCCAACTGCTGGGCATGAATTCGCTATGTATTGGGCCGTATTGGGCAATGGCAACATCACAAGTTCCTTTGCCAAAAACAACGCTGCTTGGAAACATGTGAAGCATCGCGACACGGCAAAACGACAAGCCCCAACAAGCAAGAACCAGGCAACGGAGCTTGCCAGCATGTCAGCAGGATAGCCTGACCCTACTTCAGCATCTCGGCGTGACAACGTGTCACCATGTCAGCGCGACCCATCTCATAGTGCCAGCATGACAACGTGTCAGCGTGACAGCCTGACAACATGCCGGGTGACACCATACCAGCATATCAGCGTGACATGTTTGCATGTTCATGTTTGAATGTCTACACATCCGTGTCAGCTTACCAGCGACCACAGCATGCCAGCACGGCAAAAAAGAGCATGTGAGCAAAGCCCGCACGCTGCATAACATCATGTTTGCAAGTTAGAATGACAGACCAGAGTGACAACGTGTGGGTATGTCGACACGACAGCGTACACCACACAAGCATGGTAGCCTGACTGCATGACAACATGCCAGCGTGATGACATGTCAGCACTACGCCATGACAATGTCAGCATAACAGCACGTCAGCTGCAAAGTGCTCCAGAACTTGCGCCGGGCGCCGGAAACTGCTCCAACAGCTTCCAAACCTCCTCAAGGAACCTGCCCTCGAACCTCCTGCTCGGAGACCCGCCCCAAGCTCCGGAACCAGCTCTGGAACTTGCTCCAGAACCTGTTCTGGAACCTGCTTCCCCGGAGCCTGCTTGGAACCTCCTCCGGGGCCTGCTGCCCCTATGTCTTTCGTCTTTACCCAATTCTGGAAAAAAGGTTGTAGAATCATGTTTCATTGATTGTGAGAAGTGAGAAGTCAACTAGTTCATCTCAAGATGGGAAGAGAATGAGAATGAGACGGAGGCTCCTGGCTGGATGTGCCAGTGGGTGGATACATTGAATAATGCAACAGCGGGGTGAAGGCAAATCAGGACAACTGTCCTTCTCTTCTGCAGAGTCGTAGTGCTTGTGAAACTTCTGGACGAAGTCTTCAAATGCCTGAAGGTACCTGACGTATGTTTGCAGGAGCCCAGCAAGCCTTAAGTAAGTCATCGGCTTCCTATTGCACAGGATTGTAGTGAGTGCTAAAGAGAAGGATTAGGGTGAGGAGCACATTGCCGAAGCCCTTGATTCTGTTGCAACTTTTGGCGAGGGGAGGCAGAAGTTTCAAAGTATCAAACTTGTGGGTTGCAATATTGGAGTTGTGAGGTGGCTGAGAATTGAGGTTGAATGCTGACACCACCTAAACTTAGGTGCCACGAAAGCAAAGAAATTCCCCGTAGCAAGACCAACAAAATCTCTTGTTCTTAGGGCCTTAAGGGCACTCGTCTGCTGTGCCCTCCACCTTTTGGGACTGTGAGGCATCGTCCACAGGCTTTGGAAGAGTGGAGTCCTTGATTACGAAAACGAGAGCAAAAAGAAAGCAATTAACAAGCTACAAAAGCCACGAGAAATGTTAACTCAATTCTTGGATATTCTTGGCAGGATGTGTTCAAAAAAAAGCTGGCTGGCATGTGTTTTGCATCTGTCGCTACCTGAATAAGAAAGGACTGTCTTTATTTAAAAAATAAAACGCATTACCTGCGAGGAATCTCCTGTGCCGCGGCCACCTGAAGGGAGGCCAGCACCTGAGACTACACCAGCAGGAGTTACAGTTATAGCGCAACGAAATTGTATTGCTATGGTAGGAGCAAGGACGCTACTAAGGGCTCCTGGCCTTACTACTAGGAACAAGAAGCTACTAGGGGCTCCTGGCATCGCTACTAGGAGCAAGAAAGCTACTAATTGTATTGCTATGGTGCCAACAATGACATAAGAAGTGCTCAACCTACCGGCATCCCTTGTGACGGGCGCCCGAATACTGCCACGAAGCGGTGTACCCAGCCCATAGCCCATCAGAGAAAGTAGACTTGGCTCATCTGCTTTTACTAATTGTGTCTAATAGCAAACATTGTTACTACTAGTAAGGCACTTGTTCCTAGTAGCGATGCACTTGTTACTAGTAGCTTCTTGTTATCTCCCAAATACGGTGCCACTTCCAACCGATGTGACGCCTTTTATGAACCAGTAAGAACCAGTCTTGATCGAAACCACTAAGCCCGAACAAGTCCAAGTCTTCCACGGAGTGCAAGCTTGCGGCTGTGATTTGTGTCCTTGCATGTTGAGGCCCCCGGCTGCTAAAGACCACATCTGCAAGTGTTCTCCGACACCACCCGTGGATGGGTCGGTAAGTTTGAGCCGAAATCTGTTGGTGGCAGAGGATTGAAGAGAACGTTTGAAGTGTGAACGTGGAGGCCTTGGACAGGACGACGATAGGGAACTCGGGCTGGTTGAAATATGTGTATAAAAATGACTAAAACTATATACATATAATTCTTAGATATATATTTATATATATGGAATACATCCTACACTGGGACAACAAGACCTCAACATATTGGCTGGTCACTGTTCAGATTCTTCTCGGTGATGTTCCGCGTCTTGCAAAGTTTGAGGCAGAACAAGCTCGTGTGCAGCTGCATTCCACGTCTTTCTGTCCAACTTGAAAACAATGAATTTGACGTTTGGACCTTATCACCTTTGCCGCCTTTGCTTATGATTTCGAGACTTCCTCCTTGAGTCACCTGAATCTGTCGGGGCGCACCCTTTTTCGCCGAGGACTGGTTTATGACGATCAGAACAGATGCAAAAGAGAATCTGAGGGCACTTAAATCATCTTATATAAATCCAAGGGGACACGCCTCATGCTTGCTGAAACATTGATGACAGGACTAGGACGAGATGAATTGATGCAGACTGGCCTGCAATGCATGCTCTCAGAGCCCTTCATTTGAGACTGGTCATGGTTGGACGATGTCCTTTGAAAAGTGAAGGGACATGTCCACACCAGTGAAAACTGAGTCGCAAGGCCTTTAACTTTTACAACCAGCAGGACCAGCAGTTAGCTGATTGTCAAAGCTTCAAGGTCTGCTCTGCTGCGGGCATGTCTCACAAGCATGAAAAGTCTCTGATAAATTGTGCCCCTTCTAGTCTGATGAGGCAATGCTGGCGAACAAATCTGTCCAACCAGAATAGGCTTGGCCATGAAAAGGCCCGGAGTGTTGATGCCTGAAACCTATGCTGCAGGAACTAAACCGCTGGTTCCCAATGAACTTGATTGTGTATAGTGGTGCGTACTCTTTGGCAATGTTTTCTGCTTGCATATTTACAAACAGTAGAGTTGTGAGTGCTGGTGCCCTCAGCCAAGCACGGGACAGAAAACAAGTTTTCCGCGTCAAACTATCTCTTTGGATCATGCTGCTGGCAGCTGATCTTGCAGGTGGTGCTAACACACCACCCCCTTTGCAGCTAGTTTCAATGCTTGGCGTACCATAATGTATACTGTATAGTATACTGTAGCAAATATCAAAACACGCGTATTTGAATGTGTTGCAAGAACAAGACTTGTGCTAAGGTGAGAATACTCGTTTTTGTTTTAAAAGCAGTTTGTGCACCAGATCCAAGAAGTCCTTTCCGCGTCCGCCGTCTCAGCTTTGGGCGGGTTGTCTCAGCTCCTTGGGCAACAAGCTGAAGTTGTCCTTCGGAGGGTTCAGGATGTTCGCGTTGACCCACAAGCCCTCAGTCGTTCATTCAGGATTCACATCTTTGCACGCAGCTTCAGTGCCGTGCAGGGCTTGTCCAAGAAAGGCAGCAACAGCAGCAGAAGCAGCAGCGGCAGCGCCAGCACCAGCGGCAGTCAGAAGTTGCAGTCAGAAGTTGAAGTAAAGGATAACAAAGGCTGACAACAGGGTGTCTCAAACCAAAATCAAGTGCAAAAGGATCTTGGAGTTGGGAAGCATTGTTGAGTAGAGGGAGCTTTGGCCTGATAGCCCAAAGATCCTGAGCCGACTGCTGGGAGTGCCATCAACTCGTGCTCTTTGCGTCCAAGAAACTGTGGAGACGATGGCCCAGGCTGCCAAAGGGGCAAAGAAGATCAAGGGATTATCCGCCTAAGGTGGCCCCACACAAGATGAGATCACTGCATATTCTTTCACCTCAAGTATAGATTACGACTCGATTACGACTCAGGAGTCTAGCCACGTCGAAGGGCAAAAGCATCTAGGTTGGAAAAGTCGAACGTCCATGTCACTCAACGTTCTCTACGAGCAATTCTTAGATGAGAATGTTTTTGATGCAGTCCAGGTGCGTAATCCTTGTCCTTTAATTCCTCCGGCACGTAGGTGCCAGGCCGATATTTCTGTCTTGCTTCTTCTGCCAGCGCCGGGAGAGCTGAAAGCAGTGTGTGTTTCTAGTCTCCCTTCTGCGTCTTCTCTACCTATCAAACCTTGAAAGGTTGGTGTTTAAGAGCCACTGGAGAGATGCCAATGTCGAAGCCGAATCTGGTTGTGTTTGCTTTGAATGCGTTCTATTCGTGCAGGAAAGCCTACCTACCATGTTGCACGTCCTTCTCAGAGTTGTTCCTACCAGTTCCGGACTATAAGAGGCCAGGAGTGTTGAAATAACGGAGAACTAGCAATTTAGGATGTCCGAAGTACTCTTCAGAATCAGCCTGCGCTTTAGAACACCTGGGCCAAATAAGAAGAGGTTCGCTTCCGTGAGGATAGGAAGAGATCTTATCTTCATAATTATGTTTCAATTGATTCCACTTGAGCAACGCCCCCTTGGGATTCCGCACTCTCAGCGGCCTCCTAGTATGACAAAACGATCAACAGGCTAATGGCCAGAACCCAGACCAAAAAAGTATGGCAAGTGAACATCTGCTGGTAAAAGTTCTATTAATGTTTAGCAAGTTCACCTGAGTTGCGCATTTAACTTTAGATCCACTCTCATGTATCCGTCAAGATTCAAGATGCTCAAATGGAAAGTGCCAAAAACAAGAATGACTCATCCAAATGCTTGCAGGTGATATGGAGCACGCGCCTTGAAAAATTGTTTGCTTCTGGTTGAAAGGCGAGTGTTGCTTATTGCTTGGTGCACGTGCTGTCTGGGTACATACAGAGCGCATAATACATTATATATATAGTATATACTGTGCATATATAATCATATATATATATATATGTACGTTGAATACTCTCCAAGAGCTGTCCTTCTCGAGTTCGGATTGCTTCCTCATCTCCCTTTCCCGAACTTCCTGAAGTGTCAGCCTCTTCTTGCCTCACCAGGAAGAAAGGGGCTGGGTGGCAAGTCTCTGTTCTCTGCATCTATCGGCATAGGTCAATAATATGCTTGCGCTGTTTAGGGAAGGGATGAAAGGATCCGCTCCTCTCTTGAAGCACCTGAAGGGTTCTCAGCGCATGATTCACATGATCCTCACTCGGAGAAAAAGAAGCAATGCCAAACCCAACCCAGAAAGCACCTGGAACACTTGTAACTTGTATTTCAACTGCGCTCACCATCTGGAAGATCCATTCGATAGAGAAGCCATCAAACTCCATGGCCTTCTGCACGCAGTGCCACTTTTGTTACATTTTCCTGCAAGCAAAGTGTGTTTGCAAAGGCTTGATGTGTCTCGGAACGAAGACCAACATGTGGGTATCAAATGATATCAACAAAGAGAGTGAAATAGAGAGCGTTTGGGTGGATTGAGGAAATCCGTTTGGCACGAAGCCTGAGTTACTGACTGCGCTTGAAACGAGTGGACATGTGGCTCCCTTTCAGCGAACAGTGCCGAGTTGCACGCTCCAAAGGTAGAAAGGATGTCTTTGAAATCTAAATCGAGCTCAAGCCCCTTGAAACAAGGCTTAAAATGGTGTGCGAATTCAGTGCGAATGTAGTAAATTCCAAGGCACACTTCGCGCATTCCCCACAAAGCTGGGTGCCAGGTAGGTTGCCAGCAGGACCTCTGGCGAACTCGTCTCATGGCGCCCTTAAGGTTTTGGCGTATGTAACAAGGACGCTATTAGGTGATATTAGGTGGAGGGTGTGAGGAAGACTTGTGAAAAGGCAAGGTGGATGATAGAAACGACTCTATGTGGGCCGAATCTCCGACTATGTGGGCAGGCATCTGCTCACAGCATGTACAGGATGACCTGTCAGGGACAACACAAAAAAACAAAGAGTGGGCATGTGCTGCTGGACTCCATGGACGTCCCAACATATATATATATATATGTTTCCTCTGATTACAGTGTCAATCAAAAGGAGAGATCCGACATCTTGCTTGCTTGTTTCTTGGCCTAACAAGGACGCTACTAGGGGCTGGCCTTACTACTAGGAGCGATCGGACGCTACTAGGGGCTCCTTGCTTTTTGGCACCGATAGTTTCACAAGGTCACGTCCAAACACACGTCTTTTGCGTTGGCGAGGTTCAAACTTTAGAGCGCCAGGTTCAGTGGGAACATGGTACCCTGGTATTGTCCTTTGAGTCCTCTGATAAAGAACCACCCAAATTCTTGAATCCCTCAGGTCAATAAAGGAAGGAAACTAAATTACCTTCCTTTCCTAGCTATTTTTCTTCCTGTATTTTCACTTGTGTTTGACACTCTGGCTCTGATAGTCCGCTGCCGCTGAAGGGCTGCAATGAGGATGAAACAGCTTCGACGCCTGGCAAGTTGACTGCAAACATAAGAATTTTGAAGCAGTACCAGTGTCTGGGACCTACGATTGTTACTTTGGGAGTGCCATGGCGAATATTATGGTCCCATCTCGAAGGTATCAACTTTTGACTTTGGACAACGGCTTCATGTCCAAAAACAGCTAAGCCTTCCTGCATGCCTTTTCCCGGCTTGCGCCAGCCTCTCCATTGCTGTTTTTCTTGGCCTAGAGCCACATTTGCGTTTGATGTGTGTATCAGTATCCAAGTTTGGGCAACACCAAAGTTTCTGAAAGTCAAGCGATTCTTCGTCATATACAACAAATTTTGACGGGTCTTTCCGTAGCGTATGGTAGTGATCTGCTCCACAAATTACCTCAACACTTAACGGCCTGCCGTTCCAAAATGGCATCAAAGGGTTGGCACGGCACAGGGACATGCCACCACTAGATTAGGTCATTAGTGTCTGCCAAGTGGCTTCACGTCACCCAAAGAATCCGGTGGGCGCAGCTCAAGGAATTTCAGCCAACTCGGCTCCAGCTCGGATATGCTGTGTTGTCGAACGTCACAAAGTCTGTGACGACGGTTGCGCAAGGAAACGCAAGAACGGAACATGGTGAAACAAATGGACAATGAACTTGAGAGAGGAGGGGGTGAACGAAAGGTAGCAGGCAATCACAAGTAACCCTGGTAGAAGTCCATGACGGCGTGAACCGGCGCAGGGGGGATTTGATCCAGGGCGGGGCCCCCCCCCCCGACGAACAGAATCAACTCTTACAGGACCAAACTCAATGCACAATCCCAACTCCTGATTGTAATACATTTTTGCTTAAAGCAAGGAGAACTCAGGTAGCTCAAGCTACCTTTCGTGACTAGTTGGGATTGCACAATACCAAGTCCTTCCGAAAAGTGGCATCAAAATGACTCTGTTTTCCCTCTGCCTCGGGAGCCTTTGCATCCACTGGGCATTCAGTGCCAAGCAAGGTGTTCTGTGAGCAGTCTCACGTTGGAAGGCCGGTTTTGGCACGATTAAACATGTTCATCATGTTCCCCTCTTGCGTTCAAAGTCCCGCGTTCCACGGTCTCTCTTCAATTTTTCGAGTTTTTCACCCTCAGTATGTTCAACCACTGTGTACAGGGGATACGTTCTTCCCTTTGTTGAATCTCTTGTGAAGCCTTGGCCGGCCAACTTTGGCCTGCAGAAAATTTTTGACCACACCCAAAGATGACACCCAAAGACCCATATGCGTTTTTCTTTTTTGATCTAGTTTCTTCTCTCACTCCTTGACAGAGCTACTCAGTATGCGAATTTAGTGTTTCATGCAAGTGAACGTTCATTCAGGCGCCTTTTCCCAAGCCGCACTACAATTTGAGAAGGATTATGTAATGGCCTGCTACATTCACAACACCTTGCAAGCAAGCGCAGAAGCGATCCAGCAGTTCATGGAGTTGTTTCCTCCTTTTTACACTCACTCACTGCTGTCAGCACGTAAGCAACATGTTCAATAGATCTGCAAGTTCTTTGTGGCACACGGCGTCCAAGCCTTACCTTGATGAAAAAGTTGCTGTAAAACCCTTTGCTCTGGGAGCTACATGCTTAAACACGGTGCGTGACCACGAGGAAGAAACCAACCAAACTAAGATGGATCTCAAATTCGAGTGGTATACTGGCGTGGTTCTTTTGTTGTTGCATTTCTTGGCAGAAATATGCTTAAGACCGGTATAAGCAGCTGCGCTCACTGTTTCCAGTTTGAGCCAAATCAGGTCGGCAAACGCTTCAACTGCGAGCCTGCGCGCAATGCCAAGGACAAAGTCACTGGCATCCGTAAAGAGCACGCCGCGCTCATGCAAAAAAACACATGGAATGACAACATCATGCCCACGGTATGACAGGCGCAGCTTCAATCCTGCCGCATCCTGAAGTACCGTGCGCTACATGCCGGCTTGCGTTGCCGATGCCTAATTTTTGCACTACCAGCTGAACTGAGGCACAATGCTTAAGCTGCCAGCTCAAAATCCTGTTGAACCACTCTTGAACTCAGCCGCCGCATCCCTGTTTCACGTCGCAGCCGTACTGCCCCTGCCCTGCTAGGCTAAGAACGACGATGCGTGCTTACTGGCAGACTAGAGACTTGGACACGAAGATGACCAGTCTCTTACAGAAACGACACCGCTGCGTGTTCTTTGCCAAATATGGGACAAAGCCTGCGTTGGTTCAAACGGTCAAAGAAGGGTGTTGGCTAAGCTTCGACATAAGTGGTGTGAGCTAACACCAGATCCGAGTTATCCTGCAACGCTTGGACTGCTGATGCCTGAAACTCTGTTACCAATGCACCATCCTCATCACTCCTTCGTTCTGGAGTCCATTCTGGAGTGAGCGTGGCTACCAATGTTCCAAGAAATCATCTTCTGTGATGTCCTCTGCTGTCAGGACTAGCTGCTCGAAGCCACCTCAAAATTAGAAATATCCTGTCCGGTGTAGTCTGGGTTTTTGAACTGTTCCAGTGGCTGCCATAATCTCGTAATGAGCTGACAAATCTTGTTGGGAGGCCGAGCTTCCACAAGCAGCCGGATCGAAAGTTGGGACCAAAGTAGCCAGCTGATTGGGGACAAGCGCAGGATCCTGCAGCATGATGTCCGTCCCCAAGGTCGCTGGAGCCCCTTTCGGCCAATGTGAAACTCACAAAGGTAGGGACCCAAGAGTGAATTCAGCTTGCAAACAGCGCACCTCCGCAGTGCTCTTCCCTTCCTTTTCTGCTACCGCTTCTGGTTCTGTCGAACTTCTCGATTTGTACGTGTTCAGCGTCCTCGCTGAAACAAGGTACGGCCACGTGCCGTTAAAGCTCAAGCCCATTGATGGCCCTTGCCAGCCCACCTGGCAATCTCGAGCCCAAAAGCCTGCACACACATGCACGGCTTCGGTAGAGGATGCTCTGACAGTCAAACATTCACAATATATATATACACACACATTTGCATATCAAGGGAAAGACTCGAAACTTGATAGGGATCCCATAGGTTTTGAAAGAGCTATATTAACAGTACCTACTTCGGCTACTGTTCCTACACGCTCTTTTGGCTGCGCCATGTTGAGAATGGGGAGTAAGTGAGTGAGTGAACAGGGCATGCTGCAAGGGCGCCGTTACATTTAGTTGCAACCAAGCGCGTGAAAGGGGCCGGGGCCCGGGGCCGGATGCGCAGCGAAGCCAACATGGCTTTTGAAACAAACCTGGGTATTTGCTACCGAGCAGCAAGTGCATAGCTTTTCTGATCTAATCAGCAAACGTTATTTCTACATGCAAGTAATGAACGAATTGAAGACCATTCACTCAAGAAAGGTGTATCTTCCAAACTCAGGTTTATGGTCTCATGGGTTTGCAGTACTTATACACACCGATTTGGTCCACGTTCAAAAGGCTGAAAGAAACAAATATCCATTTGAACGCCTGCAATTCTGGACAGCACAAAAGCCGGGCGAGCAAGTTGACTATCGCGCAGGCAGGGCAATGCAACTAATTTGAAAACCATCGTTGGGTGCTTTCAAACAGCTTTAAATGTTCAATTCTGTCTTGGTCTCTGTGACAAAGCTAATATGATGATGCAAGATGACTCTTATCTCCCTTTGTCAGAGCACTTTAGTACCTTGATCAAGACCTTCATGCCTGCCTAAATGCACATTCCCCAAAAGCCACAGCTTGTTCTAGTTGGCTGATGCCCCTAAATTTCCTAAATCTTCAGGGCAGCAGCACCACCTGTTGAAACAAATTAAAACATGCAAAATGCAAAATGACGGTGACCAATGACATGTTCGTCTTCTCCTGGTTGCCAGCACCAATCATGTACCGACCGATAAAGACAGGTCGTGCAAACCTATCTGAAATAGGTAAAGAGCTCCCCAAACGCAGTAGACCAAATGCAGACTTGTAATCCAACACGCTTTGTGGTTGTCTTTGTATCTTCGTTTCCTCTGCTTGGCTTCACCTTCATGCCTTCATGCCTAGTGTTGCTTTGTCGCAGTGATTTTGATCTCAGTATATGTTCTCCTTCAAGCACAGGACGCCAATCTCTCCAAGGGCTGCGGTGGTGCTCTTCAGGGCACCCCTGCAAACTTGAGATTTCAGGCAACTGGCTGCGAAGGCACACATCAAGCAAGCTTGAAGCAAGAGTTCACCTACTATCCCAACCTCTTGATGCGAGAAAAAAGACTACAACCCAACCACTGTCTTCATTAGTGGCAAGGCTCCTAGAACTATCTATCTGTCTAGATAGATTGATGGATGGATAGATAGAGAATACTTGAGCCTTAGGAACCAAAACATGCCTACCTCCTCACCATGGCACGCCACAAAACACAAGCCCATGGATTGAAGGTTGCATGATGTTGCAAATTGTCCAAATTCAACCCAAGGTGCACCACCACTGTGAGGCGCGCTTGCATGTCGTCCACCAAGGAGTCGCCCGGTTTCAAGGACTCCAATTGTCCACTCATGTGGTGATTCACCTGACATTCCACGTGCCTGTCTCCACTGAGATCACTTCCTTCACTTCCTTCCACACAATTATATGTACAGTATATATATTATGTATGTATTTATAAATATATATATATATATTATCAATCCATCTGTTCTCTCTCATGGACCTGTTGAAGCGTCAAAAGAGAGTGGAAAAGCATAGGGTCTTTATGCTGGTGCGTCACGATCTCTGGCGGTTTCTTGCGGTGGACGGTGAGTTCTTGACTTTTTGTAGTGATTCCACGTAATCTGCCTTTCACAGATCCGTGGCGAGTTCTGGCATCTGCCTGACTTTGCCCTGTTGAAGGAACGTGATGCATTTTGCCAGTTGAATGATCAAGGAACAAGAAGCTACTAGGAGCAAAGGGCATCGCTACTAGGAGCAAGGACGCTACTCGGGGCTCCTGGCCTTACTACTAGGAACAAAAAAGCTACTAGCCCCAGTGTCGTACCATGTCACCGCTTCACCTCCTGACGTGCATCGTCTAGCATCTGATTTGCCAACATGCGCAACTCGGAGCAGTTCAGCCTCTTGTCTCACCTCTTGTTCCTCCTTATTTGTCTTAAGTTTTATCTTTGGATCGTTCTATAGACCTTCTTGTTCTTTCTTATGAGGTTGGCAACAAACTGGTTGTGCAAATAGTCATTGAGAGAGAACAACAAAGCACTGTCCCTGCTGGCGTGCATAAGTCAATGCCTGGAGCAGAGGACGTGCATAGTTCTTGATCTACTGTGACTCCGGCAACACACTTGACTGATCTTGACTCTTGTCAAAACAAATTGTTGCGTTCCCTGGACTCCCCATTGCCATTGCCTTTCACATCGTTTCAGAAATAATAACCTTTGATATCCGTTGTTTCTGACTGGTGCTTGTGTATCACAAAGTGTCTCCAATGAGGGTAAGGTGCTGACAAGGCAGAAGTTTCTCAACTATCCCCCAATTGTGACTATGAATGTGAACTAGAAGTCTAGAAGTGAATGTACGTTTTTCCAGCTTGGACACCATTCTGGCTGTTCCAAAAGGTTTGGTACCGCACAATTCAAATGTGTTTGCTGGGCGTTGTTGTTCAAAGGTTTCGGCGTAATGGAACCGCAAAGGAAGGGTTGGCTGGCCTGAGTGTAAAAGCCTGGCGCATCTTCAAGATCCAGCATGCCGCTCATTCCAGACAGCTTTTTAAAGCTATCCTACAAGTCAAGCGGCAAATTGAAAGGAAGTTGGAGCCACGTGTCTTGGTGGCTTCGCTATTGAAAGCTCTCCAGCATTGGGTTTTAGCAAGTGGCTCAACTGGCCAGATCAAGCAAGCCTACTTCTTCGACAACCCTTTAAAATGACGTGCTTACGGGAGAAAGCATGACATGTGTTGGGAAAAAATGCAGAAATATAAAAACATACAGTATGTTCATATTGAAAGCATTTGAAAACAATCGCCGACGGTTCCAACTCCTTCAGCTCTGCAAGGCCTTCCTCTTTCTCCTGACAACTAAACGACCACTAGGCGCCAAATGCAGGTCTCGTACGAGAATCATTATTCGTCAACAAATACCAAAACTCAAGCGCCTTTGCAAGAGTACTCTAAGTAAGAGCTAATGTATGCAAAATATTAATTATTAACTCTTGCCCTGTGCCCCAATGAGTTAGTTCCAGCGAAAGCGTGGCCTGCTTCAGCAATGCGAGGACGGTGTCAAAGACCAGCTTCGTAGTTTGCAGAATGTCTTTTTGCCTTGACTTGTGTCACAAATCTCCACAAAATTGCATGCTTTGATGCTTGTGTCATCTTCCTGAGGCACTTAGCTCAATATAGTTCAAACACTCGCTACCCGTGGACAAATTGCAGAAAAGTTGCATGAGGCTGAAGTTGGATTGACGACCTTGAAGAAAGAAGGGCTGGCTTCAAAAAAAACACGTTGAAATTGAAGGGCCCCCAAGGCAAAGTCCACACATGTCATGGAAAAACATGCTGGCAAGTCTCAGGTTCACCCTACTCAGAACTACGTCGAGTCGGACTACTTTGAAAGACTGGGCTGGACAGTAATGCCGATGCTAAGTCTTATTGCAAAGAAATACTTCAGAGACTTTAGTGCTTGCTACAGGATAGAGGATAAAGGAATGTACTGGACTTGGGGAGAGGTGGTTAATTCGGCAACCTCCAGACATTCTGGAATGAGCGCCAAAGAGTTTGGGACTTTGGGCATTGGCTAAGGACCACTGTGGAAAACTTTGGTGTTGGTCGCCAGTGGTTTCATACTGTGCTGATGCAGTGGGCCTCGGACGCCCCACTGTGCACCGCTAGTTACTCCCACAAGCTCTTCATATCTATCATTATCTATCCAGTTTCTGGCTTTTGTACATTCGGGGGCATCGCGAAATGCTGTAGCAACTCTGTGCCAATAGTTCAGATCAATTCAGGTCCTTGTCATTGTCGACCGCCTGTATGGAGCACCCAACACACCAAGTTGGGTGTCTGTCCTAACCAAACATCTCACTGCATTCTGAAACATCATGAAACATCTTGGTGTCCCTGTCTTGTGGTAGGTCTGCTTCAGGTCAGGCGGTCCTTTGTCTCCTACATGCATGCCTCAGGCTTCGCTTTTCCTTGCGCGACCGTGTGCCTACTTCTCGGCCGTAATTGCTCCGCGGCTACAGCTGAAGGTGCTTGTCGGTTTGTGAACCCAAACATTCCGAGTCGGTGTCGGATTTTTTTGTCAAAGCGGTGTCTTTAGACTTCCTGTCGCAATTGCACATGGTCACTCCTCGTTGCATGCGATTTGATACTTACAACATCTTACAACATTATACACCCGACTTCAACTCAGGCACCTTTGGCCTACTTAGGTTTTGTAGAAGCTTGGCTTTGTAAGGGGCACCTGCAGAGTGAAGAGACCGCATTACCTGCTCAATGATCCAGGCCAAGATGCTCATGATGCCATGCAGCGGTGGAATTGCACTCTTAGGAACATGACCTGGATGCCTTAGCAGTCAAACTCGGGAGGTGTTTTTGTTATCTTGATTGTCCAAGCTGCTTCAATCAAAGCATAGAGAGAGGGAGATAGAAAAAAAGAACAAACATTATATAATTTGATATACTTAAAAATAATGCCCTTTGCCAAAGACTGCATCGAAGATCAGGAGCAAATGTAAGGAGGGTTAGATATCATCGCTTCTCAGCTGACTCAAAACAAAGAGGAAAGAACTGTTGGGTTGGAGGCCATCGCTATTAGGGTGGAGGCCATTGCTCTTTGAAACCGGCCTGTGCTTTGCCTCTTCCTGCTCTTGGGCTTGCCGCATCGAAGACTTCTCCTGAGAGCTACCGCGTCGTCCGAATTTGGGTCATTTTCCAACAGTTCTGAACTCCGGTCCTGGGGACGTTAAAACAATAACCCAAAGATCCAGAAAGTATGGAGGATGGAGATGTGGACAAATCCTTGAAGCTTCTAGGTTGTGTCAGGCTGTCTGTATCTAGTATGAGGATCAGGTGCCGGCAGGGGTGCCAGTTTATCGATTCAAGCTCGCCAGCGGACTTTAGGGTTGAGGAAGGCTTCACAAACCCTGATCAAACATAGACATAGAGGACAACAGTTCTTCTTGAGTCTCCTCTCCGACTTGGGCTTTCGTCCAATCACCAGCTCCAATTGCAAGAACCTCGGAATGTACAGCCATCTTTCATCACCATACTATGTTCACTGCCACACTGCCACAGTGGAGACCAGTGAGAATTTCTGAAGCATTGTCTGCGAAGGAAGGTCCTTCCCACGCCCTCCTACGTTGTCACTGGAGCGTTACAGCTAACATCATCCCAAGCACTCCCAGCTCCGAAATTGCAACCTTCAGCTGCGCCTGAACATCACCTCAGTTCGCCCAAGAGCTCCGTTCAAGAGCCTTCAAATTCAGCCCTATCTTCAGCTGGCTTTTCAATACCTTCACCTTTCCCTGCAAGGCCCTTCGAGGCACCTTTGGCTTGAGAGACAGAGAGCTTTGAAACATTTATGCAAATGGCGGGAGGTATTGGCCCAAAACAAAACAAGGTCAATACACTCACGTGGCTGTGCTGAATGATAGATCGCAGCCATAAGTATGGCCGAAATATCTTCCAAATCAATATGGTCTTGCAGCTTTGCAATGTGTCATAGTAATTCATGGTACAGGTACAGAAGATTGTTTAGGTTGGAGGCCATCGCTACTCGGGTGGAGGCCATCGCTAGTAGGTTGGAGGCCATCACTATTAGGCTAGAGTAAAATGGACCCATCGCAGCCAGTTCACCACAGGGCACACCTTGAACGCCTGGTCACCTTGCTCAGAACGACGAGCCAGTTACAGTGAGCATGGAGAGTTGGGCTAAACTCCAAGGAACATCAAGTCATGGTCACGCTTTTATCATGCGAAGCTCGGTGGTTTTCCCATATTCAAAAGCGAAATAGATTTGGAGGACCCTGCACTAAAGCCAAGTGGGAAAAGGTTGCCAAAATTGTCCTGTCCGAGGCGCCAAAGAACTTGTGCCTTAGAGAATAAAGCGCAGCATAGACTCATGCACCATTTGTTTAAAAGAAATCCTCCCATGACCAAAGGCAAGTAGCAATCTTGTTAAAGCTTTTAATTTAAGTCATGCACACCATTGTACCAAAAGAAAAAAAAGATATATATATATATATGGGAGTTGATCTAAATTCCTTTATCCGGGATCCGTCATGTTCGCCAAAAAAAATACTTTCGCCAAACTTTCGCCTTCCTGCGTTTTATCTTTCGCCGAAGTACGTTGTATTTATGTGTGCCATGTATGTTGTGTTTTGTTCACGTCAATGGCTTCTTCTTTACTGGCAAACACAAAATAGAAACTTCACTGTTTGTCAGCATGTGTCTTCTACTTAACTGTTGACACCCTGTACGTCTCTTTTGTTTCTCCTGGGTGTCAGCAAGGATCAAAATTGCAAGAATCACTGTAGTAGCCGGTCACTCAAACTTACTCATAATGGGCTGGGGGTCAGATGTGGCAGGGTGAACTTTCGCCAATCTTGAGCTGAACTTTCGCCAAACTTTCGCAGCAACAGCTTGGCATAGGTCCAGCAACATTTCCTGCTGCCCGCTTCCCTAATGCCCTCAGTACCCTGATCCTGCATTCCCTGGTGTTGGGTAGCACAGTAGCTCTTTGGTATTGGAGTCATGCAGCTGCGTCTTCAGCAAATGCATCCAGTCATACATGCCGATGCACTGCAGGGCATTGGACTGCACTCTGTCATATGACTGTATATGCACAAATTCCTTTCCATTGTCTTGCTGCGGGGCAGCTGTATGCGCTCGTGTGGGTGACCAACAGAGACGTGCTTCAAGCCACAGAGACCAACGTACAACGCGAACATGTCACAGGACACTGGCATTGACTATTGACGTACTCTTCCAGGCTTACTCACGCACTTGTATCATTTGTATCATGGCAGCATAGCACTCTGCCTAACATGTCAAGCAATCTACAAAACGCTCCAGTAGCAAGACTCTGTTTGGGTACAACAAACATGGTGGGGTGGAGCACATTTCACTCTGCCAAAGCTGAGTCTAAAAGTCAATCCAAGTTCTACAGCAAGACACGGGTATCAAGGCACCCTGAGCCCTGAGCAAAGCAGGTGAGATGAGCTCACAACTGTTAGAGACTTGAGAGTGAGATGGAACCAAATGGTACGCTTGGATCCTTCTTTCAGACTCGATTGGGTGAACAAAAGCCCTCGTCACAACATTGACACTGACTAGTAGCACAGGGACACAGAGAAGAAGACACTCAGCAAAGCACCTATGTAAATGTATAGCAGCTACATCATGCATTCCGTTTGGAGAAAAAAATATACAGACCAGTCAATGTCACCCTCTCAGCCCAATGTTGCTCGCTTGGCCCTCCTTGAATTCCTTGAGCGAGCTACATTTGCTGAACGGTCGCATGTTTGAGTAAGCAAATGCGTCCAGATTTCCGCTGATGTCTAGACTCTAGACTCTAGACGAGAAAGCCATCTGGCCGAGGTGCTTGAATGGGAGGCGTGGTCCTGGTGCAAATTCGAGTTGAGGTGAGGTGTCCGCATAGTACGTCTCGCAGCTGGCAAGCATCTTTTGGACCTGTTTGCGTGCAACACATCCTTCAAGTGTCCAACAAGGTAGCTGTTCAGCGTGCTTTAACATCGTCAACAACAACAACAACAACAACAACAACAACAACCAAACAAAAAAGAAAACAACAAACAACAACGAAAAACACAGCGCACCAGCTCCATTAAACCCCAATCGTGATGACCTGCTTCTTAAAGATCAAGCCTCTTGAAAGTGACAACTGCGTACTGACATGGAGGTGTGATGCACTATATCTGTATGAACTCAGCTTGACTTGGTGGTTTACAGGAAACCAGGCGAAGTGAATATGCTGCTGCCATACCTTGGGCAAATTTGTGTAAAGCGGCACGAAGGCGCCTGCCTGATCATATTTCTCCTTCATTCCCTCAAAGTCTCCCTCAAAGAACTCCTCGTAGGCATCCTCGACGCTCTCCAACAAGTCTTTCCTGCAGCTGCAAAGAGACTCACTTCAAAGTCAGGACAACTCAACGGAGTCATGACATGTCCATCTCTAATGCAGTAGGGTTTCAGCTGATCCACTGCCAGATCACGAGGCGCCTTGTCCAACAGTGCAGTCCTTGGAGTGGTAAAAACAACTTCGGAAGGAGTCTGCAATGACAAAGTAAGCAATCGCACGTTTCTGCGTTGAGGCAAACTCAACCCTACCGGAGCGTCACTGAAAGGGGGTCCAAGTCACTCGATAAACATTCGGATGAGAACAGCCACAGTAGTTTGTGCAATCACCTTGTAATTGCCTCAGTTAGGCAGTTAGGCAGTAATTTCGCAAAAAGGAGTGCCCATGAGTGCGCTTCTGGTTCCATAGTGACTCGAGTGGCTCACGCCGGACTCACGCCGGGTACTGACAGTAGGACACCCATGTTGTGACTAACCTTGGGTGTGGCTGTATCGCAGGTTGTTCAGGCTGTGGTCATATCATTGGCTGGTCATCCCAAAGTCAGCAATGTGAGTTGCGGACAACTGGCAAGCTGTGCTGAACACACCGACCAGGTCCTACAGAATCCAACCAGAAACAAGAATGCTACGAGTACTAGGCATACTAAGGCCTTACTACCTTCCCCAGGAACCATTCCTTGCTGCAGGGACCAGTCTAGTCTAGGAGCCCACTTCATGTCCTATCTTTCTGAGTTGCTTCGCATGTGATAGTTGAAGGATCCAGCCGCTCCTTCGCCGGCTTCACAGGAGACCTGAAGTCTGATGGCCCGGCTGAGCTCGGCAGATGCCTCTTTGCACTTGACCGAAACGACTCAAACGACCTATAGAAAAATGTCAAATGAAAAAGAATGAAAACGATGCACTAAGGCTTCAATGCGGGCAACCATCAGAGGATAGGCTCCAAAGCCGCACAAAGCACATCCAACAAAACCCCAGGTCTTCGAAGAGTAGTAGACCTGTACATGCAATGCAGGGCGTTTGATTGTGGGATAGGATTCAAGTCATAATAAAAGCTTCCAAACAGCTAGCCAAGAAGTGAACCTTGCAATGCTGCAGGGGAAGAGGGTTCCGTGAAGAGTAAAACGACCTGCAGCTAGTAGGGATGGACGGCTAGAACATTCTGGCCTTGAATTGAGTGTTTGCATTTCTTATCGAATTTTTGGATCACTCGAAAGAAAGAGAGTCAGCTGAGTGGCTGAGAAACGTACAGGTTCAATCGGTTCAATGTTGCTTTTTGAGATGATGTCTGTCTGATGTAAGAAGTGATGGTGCAAGCAAGGCCGAGAGCTCGATGCTCTCTCGTGTGAATGTTCTCTTGACAATACTGCTGCATGTTGCAGGGTAACAAAAGCAAGAAATTGGATCCAATGTTGAGCAAATGGCTGCGAGGCAGTGCCAAAAGATCTCAGATGGAAAACAGGAGGCCAGGTGGTAAAGAAGGATCTTGCCAGATGATGTTAATCGAGGCTGTCCTCCACAGGTTATTCGTGCAACAGTTGGGCACTTAAGGAGTATGCGCCTTGAGAAGATAGCTGGTGACAGTTGAGCACAAAGAGGAGGATATCCAGGATATGTAATAAAGAATGGCCTTCTGGATGCAAGTCGGCTGTATCTTTAAAGCGATTCAGCAGAATATGGAATATGGGATGGTCGATGTGTGATACAAAGTGGCCTCCCTGCAACTCTTGTGGTGCACATCTTAATACCTCTTTGCAAAATGGAGAAAAGGTGGCAACAGTGAGATGTCACCTATATTCAGACCTACACGATGCTGCCTAATTACCGTATGTTGCAATTCCACTGCATAGTCATTATTTGTTGCCGAAGGGCATAAGAGAAGGTCAGAAAGTACAGGAAGACCAAGATCATCTGTGCTGCTGTCCGCATCCATGATTCACAGCTGAACGAAAAAACCACAGCCAAGACCAGCAGCGGAATGACGTTGCCAAGCACCTCAAGTTTTTGGGCAACCCCAAGCATAAATTGTGTCAGATTGCAGTGATATCAACTTTCTCAAGGACTTGGACACTCAAGTAGCCCGAGAAATCCAGCAAGCCTAGGAATCTTCCGGCTCCAAATTCTTGGTTTGGGGGCGTGTGGGCATTGAGTATGCAATGTCCCGAACCGTCCAACTGCGATAAAACGTGGCTATACTTTGGCACATGGACTTAAAGTAGCAGTGTGCAGGCTCTGACTAGCAACCAAACGCCACTTTGCAGCATCTTTGCCAGGTTCACCAAATGTGCGGAAAACCCGCGCACAATGGAGCTGATTGCAGGCCGAGGAGTTTCTCAAGAGCAATCATTGTGACTTGAGTGCGTGAGTTCATTCTGCTTCTGAAGTCCGAAAACTCCTGTGATGTGATGTCGACCTCTTCAGTATTTAGCCAGGTTGCCAAGCCCACCAAACGGTCGATGTTTCCTGCAGGCTTAGATACCGACATGTTCATCGCGTGCATCCAAGCTTGTCTAAAACAGGGTCATACAGGGTCTGCGCCTTTGGTACAACTGCGCGCTTTGGGTTCTTTCATATGCTCGAAAGCAACTACGAGTAACTAGCGTTCTCTTCCTGTTTGATTAATGCTCTTGGTCAACCGTACTCTAAAGTACTTTCATAGGCATCGCGTGATCGTCCAACACAGCTGCGAAATCATTGAAGGTTGAACCGCGGAATCACCCTACAAGGTGCCTTTAAAGGTGGAGCCATAGGAGGCCGTGATGATCAACGCCAAAGTGCCAGGCATCCTGAAATCTGGGCTCGGATCAGCGCAGCTAAGCATGGGGCAGTGGACAAGGGGGAACAAGTGGAACCAGCAAAAGAACTAAAGTAGTGAGTAGAATGGATTTGCTGAAAAGCTTGGACCGGAGTCGGAGTGAAACTGTTCCGCTCTGTTCGCAAGATAGGCGATTTGCCACTCAATGCTCTGAACGCCCCATTTAAGATCCGAACAAAAAGGGGTGTGATCACAACCAATTATTGGGCTTTGGTACTTTCTTCGGACTTGCTATTACTAGTTGCGCGAGCTACCCAAGTAGCAAATGCGGCTTCCAAAATCTCCGAGCGTCAGTGGTGCATGTGACACGAAGATATGGTTTTCATTGTCCGCATCTGCAAAGTAGGCCTTGGAAGGACTGACTGGATTCTTGGTTGTCAGGGTTATGTTACAGGATCCAATCAATCGCAAGAGAAATGATAAATGCAAAAACAAAACCATCCGAAGACGGTTCTTCAAACAAAAGTGATTTGCTAGTATATAATATGCAAACCAATGGGATTACACATGGGATAGTAGTATCTGGATACAGTAATTCCTTTTAATGCAGGTTCTAGGACTATGCATGCATTCAGACTCTAACCTCTTCGATCCAAACGGATACGCACGGTGAGTGCCCCGTTCATGAGAATCGATCTCTGCCTTTCACCCCCTTCCTTCGAGGCACGATCAAGAAGGTCACCAGGATTGGCAGGAAGTTTACCTGAAACGATGCCTTTTTTCGCCAACGTTGGTGCATGCTTCTTTCGAGAAGTGTCTTTCTTGCTTTTCTTTCGAGAGATCCAAATGCTCCTTTTGCTTTCAATCAGGATGTCACAGGTCATGGTGCATATCTGTGCACAGATCCTGAGGGAATGACACGTGATTCCATTCTTATTACGAAAGGTATCGAAAGGTATCTGGGGGCCTGGTTGAATACTTGTGCTGCACAGCTCGAATCAAGCCTGGTCCATGTTCCAAAGGGTACAGACATTGTAAAGGAGTATGCAACCGGTAAAAATTGTAATTATCTAAGAAAACCAATTTAACGAAATGACTTGTGGTGGCTTTGGCGCTTTCGCGCTTTAGCTAGAGAGTAGAGTCACAATGGAGAACTTGAGGTTGTCCGCTTGCAGGAGCCTCAGCCGCAGCTTCGTTTGAGTAGAAGGTCTGTAGTTGTTAGTGCGTATTGGGACGCAGAAACTCCCAGACTTCATCAAGGAAGCCCCAGGACGGGGGGTTCTTGGTTGAAGAGCCCTTCGCATGATTGATGGGGTTCCTAGTCCTAGATTTTGATGGGGAAACTTAACTTTTCTGCTCTACAGTTACAGAAAATTTCTTGATACTGTGCGTGTGAGTATCCCTACAGTCGACAACAGGTCTTCATTGTGCCAACTTGAGTAACAAAGGCTTTGTCGTAAACTACTCAAGATGCTCTCATGCGAAAAACGAAAAAAAAATGTTAAGATTCAGATGCTCTCCAAGAAACAGGTCGCACGAGAACATGTCAGCAATCCTTAGCTTGGCTTGTCACTATGGTCTTCATGATACGGTATGCAAGTACCTGGTGAACATCTACTGTTGCATCTCATGTGTTTGATGCTGATTCGCACTGTAATGTCATCGTCAAATGACCACCAACATAGCAAGCAAGGATCAGGTCAGCTTGCTTTGAGGCAAACTTGCAACTGGTCTGCAAAACTCGTCTCAAGGAAAGGGGTCAGGTGAATGCACCGGCCGTTGCCCAAGAATGCGACCGAGGCTCATCCCACAAATGCCACCCCAAAAATTCTTGCACTTGCTTGTTTCTTTTTTTGCAGCCAGATCAGGGAGATCTCGGTGAGAGCAGTGAGGGGCCTAGTATGGGGTAGGCCGGGAAGGCCTGATAGGATCAGATATGTCGCCTAGCACTGTTGCACGTGATCTTCCAAAGAGTCGTGTGCCAGTCGTGACGTCGATTCTCCATACTACGTGTGGCTTCGGCTAGCAGCATGGGCCGGTGTGTTCTTTCAGGCAAAAACTGAGTTCTAAACCATTGGCAAGCTCCACCACGGTTCGCACGTAGGCTGCGAAACCATAGACGAAGCAATTCTCATTCGACAAATCCTACATGGCTTGATGCAGAAAAACAAAACGATATGAAAAGCTTGCTTGCTAGTACTGAACTACACGGAAAAGACCTGCATGACCCTGCATGGCTTTGGTGGCCGCATGTTTCGTTTTTGCCGCTCCAAGCTGTGCTGCCGCACACCCCGTCCTCAGATACATATGGCTGGTTCTTCATGGTCTCCCTGACGGGTTCAGCAATTATCTCGCACAACAAACACAGGCAATGCTTCCTTGCTTCAGCGTCAACCAGTGCTTCCTTATGGTGCGTGTCGGGTGGCCGTTACTGAGGCTTTCAAACAGTCAGTGGCATTTTGCAGAAAACAGCTATTTGAGTTACCTGTCCAGCTCTTTCAAATCGCTGTTCCCCTTTCAACTTTCATTGTGCCGGAATGATAACAAGCAATCTGACTCAAGCAACAATGAACAAAGTGGACCTACAACTACTTCACTACTATGGTTTTTGGATGTTTGTGGAGAATGGACATACGAATCTTGCAGTCTCAGTTCTACCTTACCAAACCTAAGTGGTTAACCTTCACTGAGCGTGAGTCATCTTGTTTCTCCAGCTGGTTTGTAAGAGAGTCTATGGCAGTTCCTCCTTTCCCACCGTCTCCATCGTTTCTACCCCCGCCCGCCGCTTGATCATTCCGGCCTGTAAGACCGTGCCAAATCTTTCTCTTTGCCTTTGACCACGCTCAACTTCTCGTTCAACTCCTCCTTTTCCTGTCCAAAGGCTCTCCCTCCACCTAGTAGCTGCTTGTTCCTAGTAGAAACGGCCTCCAACCTAATAGCGATGGCCTAGCAGTCTTTTGTTACTAGTAGTTTCTCGTTGCCAAAGGCTCTCTTGCACGTCCAGTCCAGAAATGCAATACAAGCCTCTCTAGAGAGGTGGCCATCCACACAGCATCGGCAGCAGAGCATAAAGAGGTCGGTGGTTGCCTCATTCAGTTCTTTCATGTCCTGGAACAAACCAAAAGCCCAAAATGCGAGTTGGATCGACTACATTGCCAGGGTCACTGTATTATATAAGTGTCTTTATGCGAAACAGCATGGTTTGTTTACTCAAAAGGTCCTTTCCGACGCCGCTGCAAAACTCCTTGTGATTTCCATCGAACTTCTCACGGACCTGAGAAGGTCACTGTGAGGTCCGCACAGCTCACCGAGCTGATCAAGTGCCTTCTTCTAACCCGCCTGACTCCCTCGGGTTGGGCATGGACCTCACTACCCCAGAACAGGTCTTTGGTTTGGAAGAAACCAAAGAGTTCTAAATTCAAGAGTTAGAACAAAACATTTTGGTAAAACAACTTAGAACATGCACTTCTACAAAAGAACTCAGAACATGGGTCTAAAACCATTGAATCAGCTGCAGGACATACAACATAGAACATACACCATGACCGTACCAACCTGTATATACACTGGGGTGCCAAAAGTTGCGCTTCTTGACTTCTAAAACATCACAA